GCCAGCGCGCCGCGCCGAACCTCACCCGTGGCTTCGCCTCTTGGGTTGAGGGCGCAGGGCGCAGCACGCTCCAGGCCGTGCAGACATTCTCCACTAAACAAACAACACCATCATGAACCGCGACGACCCGCCGAGTGTTAGCCGCTCCCGCTCGAATAGCGGTCGAGCTGGCTCGAGACGCGATCCGGCCCGGGCCGTCGACCCGAAATTCGCGGTCCCCCGCCCCCCTGCTCCTGAGATGGGAGCCGGCGAAGCCCTGTATGACTCGGGCTTACAGCGCACCGTGTCCGACCCCGGACTGTGTCGCCCGCGTATCAACGTTCCCGCACCTCCGGAGACGCCGACTGTGGGCGCGCCTTCCGCCGCGCGACAACAACAACGACCACCTCATAGCCGACCAACAGAGACGCCCAGTTTGAGCCTCCAAAGTACTATGGAGGACCATCTTCAGGCTCTGCGGGCGGGATCGCCCGACACCATGGACGCGATGCTTCGGTCCCTGACCGGGGACGTCCCTCCTGCGCCGCGAGGCAGCCCGAGAGCTGTGCTTTATTCCGATGCGGTAACTTACGCTATCGTTCGGAAGCAAGTTGCTTTCTCGGATGGCCTTCACGCGGCGGTCAGGGATTACCTAGACAGGGTCGCGGCTAAGCTGAAGTGTGAGGGCCTGCTCAGCACGCCGCTAACAGAAGAAGAGGCTGCACTTGCGGAGAGCGCTATGGCGCGTTCTACTCCCCTACGCCGCCCGCGATCGGCCTCTCCCGACGACCCCGACCGGGACTCCAAGAGGCACTGTGTCCCGCCGCCTTCGAGCTCCCAGCCGCTGCCGCAGCGGGACCCCCGCCTGCGGCGAAGACTCACCCTAACAACAGGGAACACCTCCGCCACCACCACCACCGCCGCTGATGTCGCCGAGCCTGCAGCGCGTCCCACGCCTGCCGCGCGAACTGCGCCCACCCCGAGCGCCGCGCTTGTCTCAAGCGCCGCGCCTGCCTCGAGCGCCGAGCCCGCTACATCAAACGACGCACCCCTATCGTACGCGCAGCTCGCGGCCGCACCTGCCGCGGACCGCCGCCCTGCATCGCCGCGGCCACAGCCAGCCGCCACCACTACCGCCGCCGCCGCCGCCCCCCGCTACCCGCCGCTGGTAGTAGAGGTCCTGCCCGACTGGACGACCCACTTTCGTGCCCTGAGGGACCGTCTCGGGCACGCGCCGAATGCGCGCCCCTTTGGCAGAGGGGTGCGCTTCTCACCCAAGGACGGGGAGGAGTACCGCATCGTCCAGCGGTACCTGACGGAGCTGGAGAAGAACCAGAAGGTGTCGTGGTTCTCCTACTCGCTCCCCGCCGAACGAGACCTCAAGGTGGCGATCCGGGGCCTCCCGGCTGACACCGACCCGCAGCTCATCATGCAGGAGCTCAAGAGCCTGGGGTTCGAGCCCGAGCACGCACAACGAATCCAGGCGTCCCAGGGGCGTCCCGGGTGCCTCTTTCTGGTCATCTTGAAGAAGACACCGGGCCTCACTCCAGCCATTTTCAACCAAGAAGAGCTCCTGTGCATGCCGGGCGTAACTGTGGAGGCGTGGCGCGGCAAACGCGGGCCCGCGCAGTGCCACAGATGTCAAGCGTTCCGGCACTCTTCGCACCACTGCCACCGTCCCCAGGCCTGCGTGCGATGCGGCGGCGAGCATCGTGCGGCAGACTGCCCGCGCCCGCGGGACGAGCCCGCAACCTGCGCCAATTGCAAAGGCGCGCACCCGGCGAACCACTCGTCGTGCCCTGTTCGACGCGCCGAGGCGCGCAACAAAAAGGCGGGCACGGTGGCCTCCACCGCCGCAATGAAGCAGCGTCAACCCCCGAAGACAGCCCCGGAAGCCGAACCGCCGACCCGTCGAGGGCCGCGGGGCGGCAAGAAGAGGAAGCAAGGCGGAAAGGGACAGAGCGATACCGCCCCCCGCCCCCCGACGGCGCAACTGCGTCCAATCAGCGCCGCCGACATGTCGACCCGCGCTCAGCGGTCGACCCCGCACCCCGCACTCCGCGCCGACGACCGGCCCATAGCGCTGACCCACGCAGCACTAGCATCGATTGTGGAGGCAGCCGTGCAGTCGGCGCTTGCCGCCACCCAAACCGCAGGGGAGAAAATCGCGCCGATGGCGGCGCAGACCTCTCGCGACGCCCCGACTCGAGACCGCCGCAACTAGATGGGGGGCCTCCGGCTCCTGTATTG